AAATTCATATTTAGTCAATAATTCCAGGTACTGTAATTCCAGTAGTAATTGGGCAGTGTTTTTGTTCCTCTTTCTTGACCTCTGCCAGGGATGTTGGTTGGATTTGCCTGTGAAGCTTTTGGGTTTCACACTAGTGTTACAGTTTTCACATGGCACAGAGTCGCTCATTGTTTTGCCTTGTTGAGGGGCAGCCTGCTGTATAATTGCATGCATAACCAGATGCACTCAGCAGGAGCCTCATATACGAGAATAATGCTGATATAAAGAGGCAGATATACAGCACTGCTTCCACAACCTTGTCCTGAAATGGGGAGGTTCCAGGTCAGAAGAAAGTGCCCAGCTGCTTATGTGAGAGAACTGAGTCAAGCTGAAAACAAAACACTTTCAGCTTTTGTTGACCATTTCTGCTACTGAGGCAGCTACTTTTCCACAAAACTCAACTTTGATGCTGAAATACACCATCCGAGCTCTGAGTGCAGCATTTTTTTAAATGTAGCAGACATGGTTTGAAGATCAGGACATTCATAGGAATCCTAAGATGTTTGTGCATAAAGCTATTGTGCTTCCAACTCTATTGTATGCCTGTGAAAAACATGGAACATCAACAAATGTCACTCTCAATGTCTAGAAAAATTCCAACAGCTTTGCCTTAAAAACAGAGATGGATAAACACTTGCATAGGTTGTTGTAGGTTTTTTCGGGCTATATGGCCATGTTCTAGAGTCATTCTCTCCTTACGTTTCACCTGCATCTATGGCAAGTGATTCCGGCCATGAAAGCCTTCGACAATATAACACTTATATATTTTAAGACAAATCTGTCCAGAGCCTCCAGAACAATTTGACACCATTCTGTTTGCATTTAAAACTCCCAAGAAAGGTTTGGATCTTAACAGGTTTTGGCAATTAAAACAAACCCCTTTTATTATTTCTGATTGAGTTTGGAAAGTTAATAGAAATGAAAAATGTTAGAACAAAGTATAAAGGGTGGTTTCAAATCCTTATTTAGTTATAATGGAGTGACAATGGGGAATGTATAAAAAGATATAAGGTGCAGTCACAAGAATGGTAAATGTATGCATTATATGTGTTTATCTAACTGTTGACATCAATATCCAAGAATATAGCTATATGCTTTTTCTGTGTATCTGCACGAGATGAAATCAATTGTAAACAACATGATTAAAAGTTTAATAATGTTTTTAAAATCCTGCAAATTTTTTGGGCATCAGCATTCTGGAAGAAGCAAAGACCTCCAGCATCAAAGCCATGATCCTCCGCCATCCACTTTGCTGGACCGGCCACCTTGTCCAAATGCCTGATCTCCCAAATCAGTTATTTTACTCTCAGCTCAAGAACAGAAAACAGAATGTCGATGGACAGCAAAAGAGATTTAAAGATGGAATTAAATATCTTTGAAAAGGGTGGAATATACATCAAGAACTGGGAAGTCCTGGTCCTTGAGCATTGGAACTGGAGGTATGCTGTTACCAACAGACTGCGCTCTGGCACCACGAGATGCAGAGCCAATCTTCAGAAATGGGGCTACAAAGTGGAATCCACGACATGCGAGTGTGGAGAAGAGCAAACCACTGACCACCTGCTGCAATGCACCCTGAGCCCTGCCACATGCACAATGGAGGACCTTCTTGCAGCAACACCAGAAGCACTCCAAGTGGCCAGATACTGGTCAAAGGACATTTAATCAACTTCCAAACTCATAAATTTTGTATTCTGTATTTTGTATTTTTGTATCTTGTCTGTCTGTTTGCTTTGTTCTGTTAGAAATGTAATATAAATGACTGGTTGCTGATGACTCGATAAATAAATAAACCAACAGTTCTATGAATTTTGAAGAGGCCCAAACAGTGGGCGAAAAGGGAAATGAGCCAAGAGGAATCTGCTTCTTGGGGTGGATTGAGAATGACTTCCTTCCTTTCTAGGCCTGGGCTGCAAAATACCTCAGAGCTTAGTTCTGTCTACCACACTATCTAATGGAGTATTTCTCAACCTTCCTAATGTCACAATCTCTTAATACAGTTTCTCATGTTGTGGCGACCCGCAACCATAACATTATTTTTGTTGCTATTACAGAACTGTAATTTTGTTACTGTTATGTAAATAACTGATCTGCAGGATGTATTTTCATTGACTGGACAAATTTGGCACAAAACTCTCTCATGTTCAGTTTCCCTGAAGCCTGAGGCACAGGGAGAGCTCAAAGGTTGCAACGCCAGGGGTTGGGCTGAGGCAGAGTCTGAGAAACGAAAGTTAAGGCATTAACTCTGTCTTGACTGCAGTAGAGCAGCATTGGCAGCTATGGCCTCTGGAGACTCTATAAAAATGCTCTGTGAGGAACTGGCCTGTCCCATCTGCTTGGAGTATTTCAAGGAGCCTGTGATGATCATCTCCTGCGGGCACCATTTCTGCCAGTCCTGCCTGGATCAATGCTGGGAGGGGAAAGAGGCCTCCTGCCCACAGTGCCGGGAGAAAGTGCAGGAAGGGGACATCAAGCGGAATTGGCAGCTGGCAAACCTGGTGGAGATTGCCAAGGACCTGGGGAGCAAGAAGGCAGAAGAGAAGGGGAAAGTCTGCCAGAGGCACCAGGAGCCCCTGAAGCTCTTCTGCAAAGACCACGAAGCCCCCATCTGTGTGGTGTGCGACAGGTCAAAGGAGCACAAAAACCACCAGGTGATCCCTGTGGACGAGGCATCAAAGGAGTACAAGGTAGGAGGGGTAAAATAGAGACTCCTCATAGGGTGTTGTGGTGCATCTCCACCCCACTATACAGGTCTGTGGTTAGTGGTTTAATATTTTCCACCATGCCAGACTGAGGATAAAAGGAATTGCAATCCAACAGTACTTGTGGCTCTGAAATTTGAGAAAGGTTAAAGGACATATTAACATCAGGCATTGTAGCCACAATCCTTTTTATCTCAAATCACATCCCAGTATCCTGACAAAACAGAACAAACTGCAGCCTTGCAGATGTTACTGTACTGCAACTCCCATTGACTCTTGTCATGATGTCTAATGATGAGAAAGACGGTTGTAGTCCAGCATCCCCCATAAAATCACATAGAGAGAGGGATTTGTCTTGTGGGCCTTGAGTTTAATACATGACGAGGACAGGAGTTGTAGTCCAGCATCAGGACAGCCACAAAAAACACATGGAGGGTTGGATTCGGCCCATGGGCCAGGACATGTCCTAAAGCACTGTTCTCAACCTTCCTAATGCCGCGACCCCTTAATACAGTTCCTCATGTTGTGGTGACCCCCAACCACAACATTATTTTCATTGCTACTTCATAACTAATTTTGCCACTGTTATGAATCATTATTTAAATTTCTGATATTCAGGATGTATTTGCATTTGTTGGACCAAATTTGGCACAAATACTCAATACGCCCAAATGTAAATACTGGTGAGGTTGAGAGGGATTTATTTCATTTGAGAGTTGTAGTTGCTAGGATTTATAGTACTTGCTTTGTTTATTCATTCAGTCTCTTCTGACTCTTCGTGACCTCATGAACCAGCCCATGCCAGAGCTCCCTGTCGGCCGTCACCACCCCCAAATCCTTCAAGGTCAAGCCAGTCACTTCAAGGATACCATCCATCCATCTTGCCCTTGGTCGGCCCCTCTTCCTTTTTCCTTCCATTTTCCCCAGCATCATTGTCTTCTCTAAGTTTCCTGTCTTCTCATTATGTGGCCAAAGTACTTCAACTTTGCCTCTAATATCCTTCCCTCCAATGAACAGTCAGGCTTTATTTCCTGGAGAATGGACTAGTTGGATCTTCTCACGGTCCAAGGCACTCTCAGAAATTTCCTCCAACACCACAGTTTATAGTTCACAATCAAAGAGCATTTCTGAACTCCACCAACGATAGAATTGAACAAAACTTGGCACACACAGAACTCCCATGACCAACAGAAAATACTGGGTTTGGTGATGACCTTGAGTTTGGGAGTTGTAGTTCACCTACATCCAACGAGCACTGTAGACTCAAACAATGATAGATCTGGACCAAACTCGGCACGAATATTCCGTATGCCCAAATACGAACACAGATGGAGTTTGGGGGAAATAGACCTGATATTTGGGAGTTGTGGTTGCTGGTATTTATAGTTCACCTACAATCAAAGAGCATTCTGAATCGCACCAACGATAGAATTGAACCAAACTTTCCACACAGAACCTCCATGACCAACAGAAAATACTGTATTTTCTGATGGTCTTTGGTGACCTCCCTGACCACACCTCATGACCCCCCAGGGGTCCAGACCTCCAGGTTGAGAAACACTGCTTTAGTAGATGAGTTAAAGAATCCAGCCTCCTTTCTTCCAGCCCCAATGTGGATGCAAGCAGAGCAGAGGGTACATCCTGGTGCTACAACAATAGAGAGGAGGAAGCTCAATAGACAGACATCTCCACCCCTCAAATATCTTGTACATTGAATCATGGAATGACTAAAGGTGTGCCAACTTTACCAAGCTTGATTTCTAGTAGGTTTGCTAGAAATTTGCATGCAGCCCTTTCGTCTTATCTGGAGCGGAGCCCAGAAAAGACATTGTACCTTTAACTCCCACCTGGAGTTGGCCCACAAAATGGGATAATCTGGCCAAGGTCCTGATATCTGGAAACTCTGTTTCAGACATCAATTTTCACATTGAGAATTTGCTACTGGGCACTTGATATTGGTAGGTATTGCATAATGCTATATATTATAAAACTTTATTTCTTGAACAAAAGAATTGAGCAAAGCCTTTTTCTTCCTCTTCAGGATCACATTTGGAATTTTTTGGAGACTCTGAAGAAGCAGAGAGAGAAAATTCTGGCTTACAAAGCAGACACAGTGCGGGAAAGCCAGGATTGGCTTGTAAGTGGCATTCCTATGGAAAATGGGCATTGCGTCTTTGAGTGTGAATCTTGATAAAGATGGAGGAAAGTACTTTGTCAAAAATATCTACCATTTATAAAGTCCTAATAGCCTATGGACAATATTGATCCAGGCACATCCCTTGCGAATCTTCATAAACTCTTTCTCTACTAGATATTGACATTTTCTCTATGAAGGGACACAAGTCTCTTTCCAAGGGAATGTGGAGGATTTAGCCCAAAGACAGTTTCTTTCTGCCTCTCACTCCTGTTTCTCCTTTCCTTTATTCTAGGGAAAAACCCAGAGAGAGAAGGAGAAGGCTGTGGCTGTATTCAGGCTCATGCACCAGTTTCTAGAAGAACAAGAGAGGAATCTGCTGGCAAAAATGGAAGAGGTGGAGAAGGAGATTTCAGCCAAAGGGGAGGAACATCTGGCCAGACTCTCCGAAGAACTCTCCTCTCTCTCAAAACTCATCCAAGAGATGGAGGAGAAGCATCAGCAGCCGGGCAAGTGAACTCCTCCAGGTAAGGCCCATATTGTCCCCATGGAAGAATGAGACAGTGACACCTCAGCTTTGTCATGGTTCAATGTACACAAACTGGGAATGTCCAGACAGGATATTTATAATCCAGGAACGAATATGACAGTCTAAGATCCATAAGTTTAGTCACCAGTCTGTATGGAAGAATTGTGTTGAACGCAGAACTAAAGTGTGCAAAAGACATCCTTACATCCTGCTTTCCTCTCTCGTATATATATATGTGTGTGTATCTGGGTTGTTATGTGTTTTCCAGGCTGTATGGCCATGTTCCAGAACATGGCTGCACTGCCTGGAAAACACCCAACAACCCAGTGATTCTGACTATGAAAGCCTTTGACAATAAACTGTAATGTCAAAGTTGCGCAACCTGGTATGTACCTCCCATCAATGATAACATGGCTATAGTGGAATACCGAGTCCACGCAATACAATCGTTCGATCTAACTCTGGTCCTGATCGCCACCCAGCAGCAGGGCATTGGCTGAGGCTGGAACTCACCTCCGTCTGGGATTGCTCACCACACCAGCATTGCCTTCATCATGTATTTATGAAGTGTGTGGCCTTGAAATATTCCAGTTTCCCAGCAATCTGGAGCCTGAAGGCTTGCATTTAACAGTATTTTGTTAAATATCCATTTCACCTGGTCATGTCCAGCATTTTTTTAAAAATTTTAATCATTACATTTGGCCCGGTCTTAGATTTTTAATTGCGTCGTGGTGTTATTGTTAATGTTTATTGCTATTGTTTAATGTTTGTATGAGTTTATTTATTATTTGTTATACTGTAGTTGTACTGTTGTATTTGGCCTTGGTCTCTTGTAAGCCACACCGAGTCTTTCAGGAGATGTTGGCGGGGTATAAATAAAGGTTTATTATTATTTATTATTATTTTGGAAACTCTGCCAAAAAAAGTTTGCAAAACCATGACATTGAAGTAGATGACCCATTTTGTAAATCTACCCTTCTTTGTGGAGGCAAAGCTTTACTTCAGGGCCACGGAGCTGCAATGAGTTAAACCCTTGCGCCAGCTGAACTGTTGTGCTAAATATTGAAGTTTTGAATCAGTGAGATGGGGTGAGCTCCCATCTGTCAGCCCCAGCTATGGGTGAACATGATTAAACCATGATTTTAAAAAGTTAACTAGAAACATTACATGTTTGTAAATATGCACATAGTCTCACTGCAAATGCCTGTCCTGAATTCTTTCTTCTCTTCATTTACAGGACATCAGAAGCTTCTTACAGGGGTAGGTTACTCTCCCACAAAAGCTTGGACTTGCATGTGAAGCACATCCCTCTCCTCTTGCAGAAATGGGTGTCTGGGGTTGAATGGTGGTGTTGGACCTGATGCCCTGTGAGGCCCCTTCCAACTCTGTGATCTTGTGGGTATGTTTCTACACCATGGAATTATAGTAGTTTGACCGCCCTTTAACTGCAATCACTGCAGAGAAAGCAAAAGGCCTTGCAAAACAAGTCCAGGCATCAAGCCATAACAGCCAAAGTGGTGTCAAACAGCATTAATTCTATAGAAGATGCACCCTGTGATATTTTTCTTTTTCCTGCAGTTATAATGAAAAGGAGGAATTTGAGACCTCTGTGGCTTTTCCTCCTGCTCTCAAATGGAAGATCTGGGACTTCTGTGATATAAATCCCTTTCTGGAGGGTGTCATGAAGCAATTCAGAGGTAAGCGTGATTGTCTGCAAGGAATTTCAGGGAGATGTAAGACTGGTCTGAATAGGGAAATGAAAGGCTCCAAGGCATTGGGAAAGTTAAGGTGAGGAAACAGCCAATTTTATTTTAAACTTGAAACAAAACTATATTGTGTCTATTGTTTTTTAAATTTTTATGTCATGTGTGGATTGAAATTTCAGTTGTGAAGCAAAATGAAATATACATATAGAATTCCCTGACCAACTTAGACCTGTTCATGTACTTCAGGGATCATCAACACGGTGGAATTAATACTGTTTGATACCATTATAATATGTATGGCTGAACGCTATGGAATATTGGGAGTTGTAGTTGGTGAGGCACCAGCATTATGTGGAAGAGAAGGCCAAAAGACATTGTAAAACTACAACTCCATTGATTCCATAACATTGATCTGTGGCATTTAAACTGGTGTCAAACTGCATTCATTCTACAGTGTCAATGTGTCTTCCAATTACATTGCACAAATGTATACACACACCAGATATACCATGAGATTTTTTGCTGGTGTACTAATACAATCAGAATTAATGTATTAAATTATTTGTACTTTGAATTGTATTAAACAGACTAAAATACTTTAAACAGATCAACAAGGAGAAATGTTAAAACCATCTCAAGCCATGTGTATACATATTGTGGAATTTGGTCCTGAGGATTTTAAGAAATGTTTTATTTTGTCCAAATGAAACTAGTGTGAGCCTAATACTCTGAGAGGCATATGTATGTAAGTAGAGGGGCTCCTTCAAGATCCCAAGGTTTTTAAGGGGCATTAAGGCCCCATCTACACTGCCAAACAAAATCCAGATTATCTGCTTTGAACTCGATTATATGGGAGTGAAGATAATCCAGTTCAAAGTAGATAATGTGGATTAACTCCTTTGATAATCTGGAATATATAGCATGTAGATCCACCTTAAATGTCATGGCAAGCATCGTAATACTCCTTTTCTAATGTGACCTGGGGATAGGTCTATTGACCAGCCAACACCTGAGAGAACCTTATGGTGTGTTAAGATTCATCCCTTTATGTCCACCGGAGCCAGGCCACTAAACCCATTTGTCCAGTGTGACTCTGTAGCCAACCTCTATCAGGCATTGGCCACGGTGTCACGCTGGAGGACCTAGTGATCCCTAGAGAGGTGTTCTCTGTAGGAAATTCCAGGTCTTTTAGATTTTTCTCCCATTGACATTAACCATTTAGTGCAGTTTGAAGCGAGCTTCTAACCATGGCAGCTAAACAAGAAACTCCTACAAAAGTGTGTGAAGGAAAATCCTCCATGTGCATCTGTGTCAGTGTAAGATTAATGTATAGTGTGTGTTTAAATGTAATTTTATGTACAATAGCTGTGATTGTAACAGGATTGTATTGCCAGAGAGTATTCCGACACAGAAAGGGTTAAACAGTAGAGTTAATAAGCTGTGAAGATGTGACCCTGAGTGTTGCCTTGAGCGAGTAAGGAGGACACAGAGATAAGTCCTTATAGCTTCAGTGAGTGTGTTGTTCATTCTTCTTGTTCCTGTCTGTCTACTGATGGTGTATGCTGTATATTTGAGCTGCTTAGTAAAGCTAAATATCTGTTTTCTACTGAAGTCTCGGGCGTCCATTTCTTCAGAGCTTCAAAAGCTTCTGCAGCACACTGACAATCTGCACCCTGTCGTTTGAGCAATCACCATCCAGGTCTCAAAATGGTTCCACAATTTCCTATGAAATCTCCAGTTTTCCTCAATAGAGTTTAAAATTGACTTAAGTGGCCAGGATGGATGTCCGCTGTAAGACCACTCTTTGGAGGTAGCTGACCATCGAGTCATACTAGAAAGCCTGATGATTCCTAGAGAGAGCATTGTAGTCAGTCCACAAATAATGAAATCTACTGGTCTTAACTTCAATCTGAGAGTTGGCTGGCATTTCTAGATAGCAACCTTCATTGTTCATACATCGAGACATATCTAAGTGATGAAGGAGGCAGAGCTCTCTTTCCTGCAACCCATCCTTTGTCACCTTCCAGTGTGAACTAGGGAAGAGTGGCCCTTTCCACTCAGTCACTTTTGTCCAAAGTTTACCCTGATATACTGCTATGGAGACTGCACATTGCGACATTGCATGTCAATGCGGTGATGCATATTGGACAACCAATTCCACCATTCCTGAATGAGGCATAACTATATGAGTTGGTTGAAGTTATGCTTCATCTCTTGGGTGAAGGATCTCAGCCAACTTGAGTTGTATCCGCCTGATTTCTGAGAGTCACCATGCCCTACTAAGTCTCTCTCTTTCCTTTCTCTCTTTAGACTCCCTGGAATCTGGTCTTCAGCAGCAAAAAGGTAAACAGGAAAGATTTTCTTCAGAGAGGGTTTGCCATAGCCTTCCCTCTGAGGCAGGACAGGGTCCCTGGTCTCCAAGAGCCCTAGTCCAACTCTGGGTCATGCTGGTTCAAATTGCAATGGTCTTTGTTTACTCGTCTTGGCTTCTAGGCAGAAATAAGGCATGAGCTAGCGCTATTTATTTTTCTTTTTGGACTCTCCTAAATATTTTTACTCAGCCTTAACCATGATTCCACAAAAATATAGCAGAGCCAACTAAACCAAACAAAACCAATCAAGCAATCTCCCCTTTTCTCAGATGACACTTACACTATAGATTGAATGTGGGTTGACACCACTTTAACTGCCATGTGTTAAAGCTATGGAATCCAGGGAGTTGTATTTTTGTGAAGCATCAGCAGAAGGCTAAAAACTTGTGAAACTGCAACTCCCAGGATTCCACAGCATTGGCCATGGCAGTTTTATACTGCAGTAATTCAACAGTGTAGATGCATCCCTAGATGAGTTTAGATTTTCTCATGAATAGCAGAACCTCCTTGGTGAATTTCCTCCCTTATTGTCCTTACAAATAATCCTGCATCTTATTATGCCCCACAGTCTAAGCCTGGGGAACAGTGGAAGGCTAGGAGCGCATATTGGCACTCCAAGGGACTTTAGAGGGAAAATAATACTTTTAAAAGAAAATTGCAAGAATGTGTTTTGATCCTAAAGAGCCCAGGAAGCCTCCAATTGGATAAAATCCCCTCGTAAAGGTTGTTCTGTATTTTTAAAAATGCTGGTGGGAGGCGGTCCACAGATTACAAAAATAACACACGGGCCACACTTTACCCACCAAGTGTGGTATCATTACTAAAAGCCTGATGGGGGTAAAAAGGCCTAACTTTAGAAAAGTCCATTTTTGAGAACTCCCAATGTTCCAAAATCCTGCAACAATCACAACCACAGGGCTTGTGTAGTCCCAAAAATAATGTTCTCACATTCTGCTCACATCAATATTTATTAACAAACAGGTCAAATAAAAATGACATTCAAAGGAAACTCAAATCTCTAATATCCCAGAGATTTAAAAAATAACAACCAGCACCCAAGATTGCCCATTTTAATTACAATAAAGAATTTCTTCTTTTTTGTCTTTTAAAATCAAATTTTAACACAAAAAACACAAATAAAAAACAAAATAATCTGGATATATTTACCCCAAATTCTCAGCAATGCGCTCCTGAATTTATTTTAGCTTTGTCATATCATAAGTATGCATGCCAGCCAAATCTCAGATTATGTCCTTCTAAATTAAACAATTTACCATGTCGGACCAATGCTGCAAAATGTTTTAGATCTGAAAACAATATTATTCTTCTAATGAAAGTAGTTATCATTAGCTAAGATACAATAATGCAATATCAAACAAGAAGTCCAAATCTCTTTCTCCATACCATTGATGGGGAAGTGTCATTGCTGGCAGGGCGCAGGATGAATCAATGACACAAGGTCCCTCATGGGTTTCATGGCTGAGCTGGGAATCAATCCCTGGTCTCCAGAATCAAAATCCAGTGCTCAAATCACCAGACATTCAAATAATAATCTTATGAAGGAGGGATATAATGTAACATTGAATCTATCTAGATTTGAAGAAACAAGGGAGGATTTTCCTGTCATTTCATAAGAATGCAAGATAGAAGCTGAACCCTCCAGCAATTTACATTTAACTTCTTTCTTTCTTTCTTTCTTTCTTTCTTTCTTTCTTTCTTTCTTTCTTTCTCACTTCACTCCTGATCTGTTTCCACCACCAACAGCACATGTGATTCTGGATCCCGACACAGCCCATCCTGGGCTCATCCTCTCTGAAGATCGCAGACGTGTGACACATGGAGAGAAATGGCAAGATCTTCCTGACAATCCTGAGAGATTCACTCATTATTCTTGTGTGCTGGGCCAAGAGGGATTCACAGGAGGCAGGCATTTTTGGGAAGTCCTTGTGAAGAATGAAGAACAATGGTCTGTGGGAGTTGCCAGAAAGTCTGTGCAGAGAAAAGACTCAGTCAACTTTGGTCCTTGTGGTGGGATCTGGCTAGTGGGAAAGAACAAGAGTGACTACTTGTCCTCCTCTGGAAAAGATGTGTACCTATGTTTGTGTGAGGAGCCCAAAAGTATTCGGGTGACACTGAACTATGAAGGGGGTCGGGTTGCCTTTTACGATGCAGACTCAGCAGCCCTCATCTTCGAATACCCACCAGCCTCTTTCTCAGGAGAGACCCTCCTTCCCATCTTTGCTGTGAATAACAAAAGCCAACTGGAGCTCTCTCCCTAAGGATGGGGAACAATGTCCAAAGCAGTTGAGATGCAAGAGGAGCTTTATCTCCATAGATCTGGGACTGTTCATTCTCTTTCCTCTCGTTGTGGATTCCTCCTGCTTTCTCTTTACATATTTGCCAAAAAGGGACTGGGAGGCTGTAGTGTGAATAATGAAGGCTTTCTGCACCGTCCATGGACCATTCAGGGCAGGCATGTAGCCGGGGGGAGGGGGTGCTTGAGGAGTTTCAGCCCCCCCCCCCCCCAAAATTCTCATGGTGGTCTGCGAGAAGGCCTTACTGGTACATTATTTAAACTGTTGTGTTTATTCATATCATGATCTGATCGCCATGCTCAATATATCCCATATGCATGGGGATATTGGGGCAACGATACAAATGGTTTGCTAGGGTAGACCCTCTTTCACTCAGACTCAGCAACCCCCCCCCCCCCCCCCCCCGAATCAAACTCAGCCCCTCCCGAATCAAAATCCTGGCTACGGGCCTGATTCAGGGAGTTATTCCCTCTGGAAAGATCAGCAACAATGACAACAGCAAAGAGGGAATAAAAGACCCAAGTTCATATTTAGTCAGTAATTCCACAGTTCCTAACAGCTGGTAGGCTGGCCGGATTTTTGGGAGTTGAAGTTGGACCTGGAGGCCCAAAGGTTTGGAACCACTGATCTAACTGTAAACATCAATATTCAAGAATATGACTATGTGATGCCTTTTTATGTGTATCTGCACCAGGTGAAATCCATTGCAAATAACTTGAATAAAAGTTTAAATAATTGTAAAACATCCTGCAAATTTCTTGGGAAGAGCGCCCACATTCCGGAAGACACAAAGACCTCCAGCATCGAAGCCATGATCCTCCACCATCCACTTTGCTGGATTGGCCACATTGTCTGAATGCCCAATCACAGTCTCCCAAAGCAGTTATTTTGCTTTCAGGTCAGGAATGGATAACAGAATGGCTATGGACAGCAAAAGAGATTTAAACGTGGGATTAAAGCCCACTTTTTTTTAAAAAAAAAAGGTGGAATATACACTGAGAACTGGGAAGCCCTGGCCCTCGAGCATTAGAACTGGAGTTCAGCTTTACCAACAGTTCTATGGATTTTGAAGAGGCCCAAAAAGTGGGCGAAAGGGGAAAATGTGGCAAGAGGAAGCTGATTCCTGGGGTGGATTTGGAGTGACTTCCTTCCTTTCTAGCACTGTCCAATCCCTTTGACTGTGAAATACCTCAGAGCTTAGTTCTGCCCACCACAGTATCTAACACAGGGGTGCTCAAACAAAGGCCTGAGGGCCAAATACGGCCCTCTAAGGCCATTTACCTGGCCCTCGCTCAGGGTCAACCTTAGTCTGAAACAACTTGAAAGCACACAACAACAACAATCCTATTTCATCAGCCAAAAGCAGGCCCACACTTTTCATTGAAATACTAATAAGTTTATATTTATTAAAATTGTTCTTCATTTTAATTATTGTATTGTTTTTAAGTGTTTTTTGCACTACAATAAGATATGTGCAGTGTGCATAGGAATTCATTCATGTTTTTTCAAATTATAATTCGGCCCTCCAATAGTTTGAGGGACTGTGACCTGGCCCTCTGTTTAAAAAGTTTAAGGACCCCTGATCTAACACATACATAAAACCATTCAAACAGATTATGTGGAATGCGGTACATATGAAGAGGCTCTAGGGGTCTTAGCAGACCACAAGGTGAACATGAATCAAGTGTTATATAACAGCTAATACAGCCCAATGCAATTCTAGGTAGCATCAATAGCATAATATCTAGATTGAGGGAAGTAATAGTACCACACTGTTTTGCTCACCTGGAATATATAAATTCAGCCTTAATCTATCCACTCGTAGTGTGGTCTTCCTCTTTTCCTGTCTTGATCTGGTATGTCCACAATTCAGGACCTTTGTTTTGGCTTCTACGGAGGATTCTGTCCAGATTTGGACACATTTATTTGTGTCTTAACATCTGCCCTTGCGCTATGCTACTCTGCTGTTGAGTATGCATGCCCAGTGTGGAACACATCGCACCACACTAAAACAGTAGATGTGGCTCTTAATGAGACATGCCGCATTATCACAGGGTGCCTGCGCCCTACACCACTGGAGAAATTACACTGTCTAGCCGGTATCGCACCACCTGACATCCGCCGGGAAGTAGCAGCCAATAGTGAAAGGACCAAGGCAGAGACATCTCCAGCTCATCCCCTGTTTGGGTATCAGCCAGCACGTCAACGACTTAAATCAAGAAATAGTTTTCTAAGATCTACAGAGACACTCGCTGGAACACCTCAGCAAGCAAGAGTCCAAAAGTGGCAGGCTCAAACCCAGAACCTCAACCAATGGCTGATACCAAATGAGAGACTCCCCCCTGGGCACACAGAAGACTGGGTGACTTGGAAGGTGCTGAACAGACTGCGCTCTGGCACCACGAGATGCAGAGCCAACCTCAGAAATGGGGCTACAAAGTGGAATCCTTGACATGCGAGTGTGGAGAAGAGCAAACCACTGACCACCTGCTGCAATGCAACCTGAGCCCTGCCACATGCACAATGGAGGACCTTCTTGCAGCAACACCAGAAGCACTCCAAGTGGCCAGATACTGGTCAAAGGACATTTAATCAACTACCAAACTTGCAAAATTTGTATTTTGTCTGTTTGTTTGTTTGTTTTGTTCTGTTAGAAATGTAATACAATTGACTGGTTGCCCTGACACAACAAATAAATAAATATATTTGTATCTTGGGCTTTCTGTGGTATCTGTGGCGCTCCTCCAAAATATTTCAATTGAGTTGATTTTCTTCCTGCCTGCTTTCTTCACTTTTCACAACTATAGATACAAATCAGATATGTTATAGCAGGTGGACCTTTCCAGGGTCTGTATGTTCAGCAGTGAGGGATTCACAGGAGGTGGCCTGTCTATAGGAGTGGTTCTTAACCTGTGAGTCCCCAGGTGTTTTGGAGGGATTCACAGGAGGTGGACTGTTTATAGGCTGATTCAGTTCAAAAATTAGATTTTCATTTTTTTTAAGGAAAACTGATTTGAAGGCGACACCACAGATGTTACCAGGTCTAACAATCAGTAATTTGAACATTACATATATAGACAACAGATTGCAAATATTTTCCAAGATTTCATCCCATTTGCCAATGTTGAGTGGCACCCGATTACCTTCCAATCTTGGATGCTAAGCAGTGCCATTCCTGTTAAGGATAGAAGCCCAAAAGTAAATCCTAGGTGCCGTAGGTTACATGTCTGTGGAAAAAAGTAGCAAATCCATCTCTGATGAGTCCTTGTCTAAGAAAACTGTGTGATATCCATGGGGTAAACTTAAGTCAACAGGCGCATGCACATACATAGGAGTCTTTTTTCCTTCCTTGCACAATGTACGCAATCAGAAGTTAGAAGGTCCAATGTCACAATGAACTGAGGTCCTTTCTTATTAATCCAGAGTTAGATAAAGAAGACCCTCCAGCCAGCCTTCCCCTCCCCTTGGTATTCTGGCTCACAGGGCCACCCCGCCCCCAAGATGCCTGCTTATGCCCTCCCGACCCTGCTTCTTCCTGGGGCTCCCACCTTCCTTATTTTAGCAACATTGGGGGGCACACAAGCATGCAAATAGGGATAAACCAAGAGAAAGAAAGCTCCCAAGTTTTTATGGGGAGATTTGGTCTTTTAGAGAGGCTGGACCTAAGCTGCAAAGGGATTTATAGGTCACAACTAGCCCTTTGAATTGTGCCTGGAAGCACACCAGTAGCCAAAGAAGCATTTCAAAGCAAGGGAGTGATATGCTTAGAGAATAAGTTGCATGGTGCCCAGGAAGGCAGAGAAAGGAAAGGGTTTCATGTTCAGTTTCCCAAAGGGTTAGGCATTGGGAGAGCTCTGACATTGCAGCGCCAGAGGTTGGGCAGAGGTGGAGTCGTCAGCTGCTTTCCGGGAAGAGAAAGTCTGAGAAACGAAAGTAAAGCTATTAGCTCTGTCTTGACTCTGCAGCAAGGACAGCCATGGCCTCTGGAAACTCTATGGAGAAGCTCTGTGAGGAACTGGCCTGTCCCATTTGCTTGGAGTATTTCAAGGAGCCTGTGATGATCATCTCCTGTGGGCACAATTTCTGCCAGTCCTGCCTGGATCAATGCTGGGAGGAGAAAGAGGCCTCCTGCCCACAATGCAGGAAGAAAGTGCAGAAAGGAGACATCAGGCCAAATAGGCAGCTGGCGAACTTGGTGGAGATTGCCAAGGACCTGGGGAGCCAGAAGGTGGAAGAGAAGGGCAGAGTCTGCCAGAGGCACCAGGAGCCCCTAAAGCTCTTCTGCAAGGACCACGAAGCCCCCATCTGTCTGGTGTGCGACAGGTCGAAGGAGCACAAAAACCACCAGGTGATCCCTCTGGACGAGGCATCAAAGGAGTACAAGGTAGGAAGGGTAAAATAGAGACTACCCTACAATACAGGTTTGTGGTTAGCTATTCAATATTTTCCACCATGCCAGACTTAGGATAATGGGAATTGCAGCCCAAAAGCACTTGTGGCTCTGAGGTTTGGGAAATGTTAACGGACATCATAGTAACATCTGGCATTATAGCCACAATCCTTTTATCTCAATTCTCAGAACAGTATCCTGAATTAACAGAACAAACTGCAGCCTTCCAGATGTTACTGTACTGCAACTTCCATTGGTTCTTGTCATGATGTCTAATAATGAGGATGACAGGAGTTGTACTCCAGCATCAGGACAACCACTGAAAAAACACATGGAGGGCTGGATTCACCCGTGGGCCTGAGTTTAACACATGTGTCTTGAGGAGATGAGTTAAAAAAAATCCAGCCCCTTTCTTCCAGGCCCAATGTGAATACAAGCATAGCAGAGGGTGTGGTCCTAGTGCTAAATACATAGACATATATCCACCTCCAAGAGTGTTTGTACATTGACTCATGGAATGACTAAAGGTGTGCCAATTTTACCAAGCTTGACTTCTAGTAGGTTTGCTGGAAATTTGCATAGAGCCCTTTCATCTTATCTGCAGCTGAGCCCATGAAAAAATGAAGAAATTGCACCCTTATCTCCCACTTGGAGATGGCCCACAAAATTGATAATGTGGCCCAGGTCTTGATATCTGGCAACTCTGTTTCAGACATTCATTTATTTATTTACAGTATTTACATGCCGCTTTTCTCACCCTTGGGGGAGACTCAAAGTGGTTTACAAAAAAATAATGGCAAAATTCAATGCCTTACATGCATAAACCAAATCATAAATCAAACAACATATCACTAAGCATAAATTCAATAAGCCAATTCAGCCTTAGAAAAGAGGACATTTTTAACATGAAACATAAAAATCAAAACACCTAATAATAGCATTAAAATCACATGATTCAAACTTGTAGCCTAGGCCATTCCAAATGTCAATTGCACATATTCCATATTTTCTTCTTGTACTGCGTTACTTTACTAGTCAAAAGCTTGGTTCCATAATCATGTCTTTGTTCTCTTTCTAAGGGCCAGGAGGGATGGCACTGATCTAATCTCACTGGGGAGAGAGTTTCAGAGTCAAGGAGCCACCACTGAAAAGGCCCTGTCTGTTATCCCCACCAACCGCACTTCCGAAGCGGGTGGGACTGAGAGAAGGGCTTCCCCAGATGATAGTAACCTATGTGATGGTTCATAGAGAGAGATACATTCGGACAGGTAAGCTGGGCCGGAACCGTATAGGGCTTTGTAGGCTAAAGCCAGGACTTTGAATTGTGCTCAGTAACAGACTGGGACCTGTGGAGCTGGCATAACAGGGGAGTTGTTTGTTTGGAGGTGAGCGCAGGGGAGTGCAGCTATCGTATGCCTGCGACCAAAGACTGGAGACCTCGGTACACTTCTTCTATACCTGGGATGTTGTCCTCTTCCACTGGGTGCTCAGCTTCGGGAGGAACATACATGGAGCAGTGAGGGAGGAAGGGGACACCGGCCTAGCCAGCCAGATCAGCCGAATCAACCCTGGCAATCAATGGGGTGACAGGTGGCGCAACAGATCCCCCTCACATCCAACAGTGGTGTGCTCCCTGTATGCTGCTCCGGTGAAAAACCTGGCTGCTGCCTGATGGACCATTTGAAGCTTCAAAACAGTCTTCAAAGGCAACCCCATGTAGAGTGCATTGCAGTAACAAGAGCATGGACCACTGTGGCCAAGTCAGACTTCCCAAAGTACCAGCACAATTGGCACACAAGCTTTAATTGTGCAAAAGCTCCCCTAATTTCTACAGAGACTTCTTTATTTCCATTGAAACCGCCTCGAAGATTAAGATCATAGATTAAGAATGTATCTCCCCCTCTGAAACACCACAGAGATTAAGATTAGGGAGGCCCTGCTCTCAGTCCTGCCTTCCTCGCAAGCATGACTGGTAGGGATGATGGACAGGTCCTTTTCAGTGGTGGCACCTTGGCTATGGCGCTCTCTCCCCAGTGACATTAGATCAGTTCCCTCCCTCCAAGTCTTTAAAAGAAAAGCAAAAACTTGGATTTGAGATCAGGCTTTCAGAGAATTGTGCAGTGCAATAAAGATTTGAAATATGTGCAATGATTACGGAACGTCTTTGGACATTAGTAGATCGCATTTCGATATGCTATGTGTTTTCTTTATTTCAAAAGAAGACCAATTTGATGTTGTGTGCCTTCAAATAATTTCTGATCTATAATAACACTCTCATAGGGTTTTGTTGGCATGAGTCATTCATGGGGTTTTGTGCCTGACCTATGGGGTCCCCAAGGAGGCCCTACAACTGGGTCTTTGTGACAGAACTTGTGCAAATCTCCGTAACTAGAGACCCTTTGGAATAAAACGGTATATAGGCTTTCCCATCTTCAGCATCTTGGAGGCTTGTGCTTGGTTCCAGCCACAGGGGAGTGCTGTCACTCAATCTCCCTGCCAAAGAGCTTTTCTTGTAAACTTCCTGCTTGAACAATAGATGAATTTTTTCTGGCATTTCCTTATGGGTGCCTTTAAAATACCTCCTTGCTTTTAAACGATACCCATTTATCTACTTACATTTTGCTTTCAAACTGCTAGGTAGGTGGCAGCTCTGCTAAAGGTCAGGAGCTCACCCTGACCCAGGCTTTCAACTGTCAACCTCTTGATCAACAAGATTTACTGCAGCTGGTGTTTTAACCTGTTGTGTTAAAGCCCAGCCCTCATTGCTAGGCATTTTGTAATACTATTTATTAGAAAAACTGTAAACCTTACACAAAAGAAGTGAGCAAGTACTTCGTCTTCCTCTTTAGGATCAGATTTGGGATTTGCTGGAGACTCTGAAGAAGGAGAGAGAGAAAATTATGGCCTACAAAGCAGATGCAGCGTGGGAAAGCCAGGATTTGCTTGTAAGTGGCATTCCTACTGGAAAATGGGAAAGTATGGCCTCTCTGAGTGTGACTCTGGATAAACAGGGAAGAAAGTGCTTTGCCAAAAATACTCACCATGTATAAAGTCCTAATAGCCTACAGATAGTATTGAACCAGATTCATTCCAGTGGTGGGCCCTTGCCAGTTTTTGTGCAACACTTTTTCTCCCCAGTTCCTTGGTAATCTCCACCAGGTTTGTCAGGTGCGTATTTGGCCTGACGTCTCCTTCCTGCACTTTCTCCCTGCACTTTCCAAGGGCACGTGGAGAATTCAGTTCTGCGACAGTTTCTTTCTGCCTCTCACTCCTGTTTCTCCTTTCCTTTCTTCTAGGAGAAAACCCAGAGAGAGAAGGAGAAGACTGTGGCTGCATTCAGGCTCATGCACCAGTTCCTTGAAGAACAAGAGAGGAATCTGCTGGCAAAAATGGAAGAGGTGGAGAAGGAGATTTCAGCCAAAGGGGAGGAACATCTGGCCAGACTCTCTGAAGAACTCTCCTCTCTCTCGAAACTCATCCAAGAGATGGAGGAGAAGCATCAGCAGCCAGCAAGTGAACTCCTCCAGGTAAGGCCCATATTGTCCCCATGGGTGGCTGAGACAGTGATACCTCAAACTTTGTTTCAGGTACATTTATTAAAAATATTGTATGAAATTGCCTTCAAGCTATGTATATATGGTAAATACATGAATTTAGTATTTCAGGTTGGATCCCATCTCTAAGACATGTCATTATAAATCTATACGCAAATATATAGGTATTGCAAAACACTGCTGGTCTCAGGCATTTCAGAGAAGGCACACTCAGCCTTTTATGTGAAATGATGGCACCTTGGAACAGAAAGTTGTTGAGATTGTGCTCAAAATTGTAACACTTCCTTAGAATCATAGAATCCTAGAGTTGGAAAAATCAAAAGGGCAATCCAACCCAACCCCATGTAGTCTATAGGCCTGGGTAACAACGGAAAAATTTGTTTCTAAAATCGATTCGTTTTTTGGGGGTTTTTGTGTTTCGATTTTTAAAAGAATTCCGAAATTTTTCTGTAAAAAAGTTCGATATTTACGAAATTTCGTAATTCGTAAAATAATTACGAAACAATTACGAATCGATTCGTTAATGGCGGACGCGACCGCGCAATACGCTAAAAAACCTCCAAATGGGACAGGGGGAACTTCTGAAGCTTCCCTCTCCCTCTGTTGTTGACTGTTGGTGTGATATTTATAATTTTTTTCACTGATTAAACAAACAACAACTATACAACTTGCCCCAGACATGCGGAAATAATAACGAAACGATTTCAAAACAATAACGAAACGAATACAAAACGAATCCGAAGCAATTACGAAACGAATTTAAAAATTCGTTTCGTTTTTTAGATGCTCCTGAATGGTTCGTTATCGCTTCGTTATAAAAAAAATAACGAATGTTTAACGAATTACGAAATTACGAAACGAAACCACCCAGCCCTAGTAGTCTAGCTCCATTCTGCCATTCTGAAATACAGACTGCAGCACTTCATGAAAGGTGCCCATCTAGCCTCTTTCTAAAAAGACCTTCAAAGAAGAAGACCACAAGCTGAACATGAGGCTATAGTGTGATGCAGTAGCTTAAATAGCCAATGTGAAATCTAGGCTGCATTAACTGGAGTACGGTGTATCTCTAGATTGAGGGAAGTCATAGTCCCGCTCAGCCTTCCCTATGGTCCAGCTCTCACATCCATCGGTGACTACGGGGAATACCATTGCTTTAGCTATGTGGAACTTCGTTGCCAGTGTGATGTCTCTAGTCTTCACTATTTTATCAAGATTGGTCATTGATCTCAAGAAGTAAGCGTCTTCTGATTTCCTGGCCACAGTCTGCATCTGCAGTAATCTTTGCACCTAGAAATACAAAGTCTGTCACGGCCTCCACGTTTTCTCCCTCTATTTCCCAGTTGTCAGTCAGTCTGGTTGTCATAATCTTGGGCTTTTTTATGTTTAACTGCAATCCGTGTGTGTGTGTGTGTGTTACATTTGCCTTTTAAAATGCAGGAATTGCTCAATTGCACAAAAAAAAATAGATTTAAAAATGGAGGAATAGCAGTACTGTAGAAAAACAGGTTGACAAAGGTGTTTAGGTATGTGGCCACTGGACCATTGAAAACAACTGCATTGTTGAAGGTGTGCAACCTGGTATGTATCTGCTATCAATGACAACATGACTGTAGTGGAATAGGGGGGTCCATGCAATACAGTCCTTAGATCCTTAAGTCCTGATCCCCATCCAGCACTAGGGTATCGGCTGAATCTGGAACTAACGTCAGCCTGGAACCCATCACCACACCAACACTGCCGAAATCATGCATTTATGAAGTGTGTGGCCTTGAATTATTCTAGTTTCCCAACATCCTAGAGCCTGAAGGCTTGCATTTAACAGTATTTTGGTGGTTCAGCCAAAAAGCTTTTATTTATTTATTTATTTATTTATTTATTTATTTATTTATTTATTTCACCTATTTGTATCTGCCCTTCTCACCCAGGAAGGGGACCCAGGGCGGCCTTACTGCAGGCAGCAATTTGATGCCCACACATATAAATAGAAAAATAAAGACATAAAATTAAAAACATACAATTAAACATCAATTATTAAAAACACCAATTAAAATCATGTAATTCAGATCGTAGTCCAAGACCTGTCCAATTGTCAATTCAATTTGTCTGTTATTCTTGCACTATATACTGGTCGAATGCTTGGTCCCACAGCCACGTCTTACGTTTCTTCCTAAAAGACAGGAGGGAGGAAACTGACCTGATTTCATTGGGAAAGTAGTTCCATAGATGAGGGGCCACCACTGAGAAGGCCCTGTCTCTCATCCCCACCAATCGCGCTTGCAAAGGTGGTGGGACTGAGAGCAGGGCCTTCCCAGAATATATTGATCTTTGTGATAGTTCATTAGAGGGAGATACATTTGGACAGGTATGCTGGGCTGGAACCATTTAGGGCTTTATAGGCTAAAGCCAGCACTTTGAATTGTGCTCGGTAGCAGACTGGTAGCCAGTGGAGCTGATGTAACAAGGGAGTTGTGTGCTCCCTATACGCCGCTCCTGTGAGCAATCTGGCTGCCACTCATTGAACCATTTGAAGCTTCCAAACAGTCTTCAAAGGCAACCCCACATAGAACGTGTTGCCGTAATTTATTCAGGATGTAACAAAACCATGGACGACCATGGTCAAGTCTGACTTCCCAAGGTATGGGCACAACTGGCACAAAAGTTTTAATTGCACAAAAGCTTCCGTGGCCTTTTGCAAAAGAATGGAATTGAAGAAGATACCCCCATCCTGTTAATTTATCCCTCTTTGAAGAGGGAGGGCTGTTTCACCCAACTAGCTTTACTTCAGCCATTTCAGTTAACTGGGAACATTTTCAGAAATATGTATATAGTCCTGAATGCAAATGCCTGTCCTGAATTCTTTTTTCCTTCATTTACAGGATATCAGCAGCTTCTTACAGGGGTAAGTTAATATCCTGAAAGAGCTTGGATTTGCTTGTGAAGCACATGTTCTAATCTTGCAGAAATTGTTGTTGGGGTTCAATGGCATAGTTGGACCTGATGGCCCATGAGGTGCCTTCCAACTCTTGTGATCCTGTGGCTACACCATGGAACTGTAGTGGTTTGACCACTCTTTAACTTTCATCACTCAGTGGTATGGAATCATAGGAGTTGTAGTTGGGTGAGGGATCAGCACTCTTTGGCAGAGAAAGCAAAAGGCCTTGTAAAATGACAAGTCCTGGCATTAAGCCACGGCATTCAAAGTGGTGTCAAACAATATTAATTCTATAGAAGTTGATTATCTATCTCTTTTTTTGCAGTTATGAGAAAAAGGAGAAATTTGAGACCCCTGCGGCCTTTCCTCCTGCCCTGAAGTGGAAGATCTGGGACTTCTGTGATGTCAATCCCTTTCTGGAGGGTGTCATGAAGCCATTCAGAGGTAAGGGCAATTGTCTGCAAGGACTTTCAGGGAAATGTAAACATTAGTCTCAAAGAGGAAATGAAATACTCCAAGGCATTGGGAAAGTTAAGGTGAGGAAATGGCTAATTTTATTTTAAACTGTATCTATTCTGTTCTATTGTTGTTGTTGTTTTTAAAAAAAATGAGGATTAAAATATTAGGTGTGAAGCAACATGAAATATAAATATAGAATTCCCTGGCCAACCTAAACCTGTTCATGTACTTTTAGGATTCATCCACACTGTATTTGGCAGGGAATGCCAAAAGTCCTTGTAAAGCTACAATTCCATTAATCCCATAACATTGAACTGTGGCATTTAAAGTGGTGTCAGACTACAGTGTCAATGTGCCTTCCAATTACACTGTGTAAATATATACATACACACATCAGATATACCATGAGATTTCTGGCTGGTGTGCTAATAAAATCAGTATTAATGTACTACATTATTTTTATTGTTTTGAATTGTTTTAAACAGACTAAAATACTTCAAATAGGTCAGCAAGGGGAAAATAGGTTAAGACAGTTAAAACCATCTGACAGTGGCTGCTCAAATAGCATATACCAGATATTATTTATTTATTTGTTTATTTATTATTTGAATTTATATGCCGCCACTCCCCTGGGGCTCGGAGCGGCTTACAAGAATGGCTAAAATCTAACAAAATTTAAAAGCAATTTAAAACAATTTAAAAACAGCAATATCAAACATTAAAAGCCTGTCGAAACAGGTATGTCTTACATGCCCTGCGGAAAGCTGGTAAGTCCCGCAAGGCACGGACTTCAGGTGGCAGAGTATTCCAGAGTGATGGTGCCACTGCTGTGAAGGCTCTGCATCTGGTTGCTGTTAGACGCAAGGTCTTGACACTGGGGACTTCCGATAGATCTTGGTCCTCAGAACGGAGGGATCTCTGGGGTTGGTAGGGGGTGAGGCGGTCCCTCAGATACATCGGCCCCAGACCATGCAAGGCCTTAAAGGTGAATACCATCACTTTGAAAGTGATCCGGTGCTCAATTGGTAACCAATGCAGCTGTAGTAAGATTGGTGTTATGTGGCATCTCATCGGAATTCCCGCAAGAAGCCGAGCAGCTGCATTTTGTACCAACTTGAGCTTCCGGATCACCGACAGAGGAAGGCCAATGTAGAGGGCGTTACAGTAGTCCAGTCTTGAGATGACCGTGGCCTGGATCACCGTAGCTAGATCGTCCCTGGACAGGTAGGGGGTCAGCCGTCTAGCCTGCCGCAGGTGAAAGAAGATGGTTCTGCTCACGGCAGAGACCTGGGCTTCCATCGTCAGCAGAGGGTCCAAAAGGACTCCCAGACTCTTTACCAGTGATGACGGGCGTAGTGCCTCGCCATCCAGGGTAGGCAGCTGGATGTCCCCACTGCCCGGTTGACCCAGCCATAGGATCTCCGTCTTTGCTGGATTCACCCTCAACCTGCTGGCATGCAGCCATCCAGTAACAGCCTCGAGGCACTGATGGAAACAATCAGGTACAGAGTCCGGTCGGCCTTCCATCTTCAGCACCAGCTGAGTGTCATCGGCGTACTGATAACACTCAAGCCCAAAACCTCGAACCAGCTGAGCAAGTGGTCGCATATAGATGTTAAACAACAGAGGGGAGAGAATGGCCCCCTGAGGAACCCCACAAGAGAGAGGGGACCTCTCAGAGACCAGGCCTCCCCTCTCCACTCACTGTCCACAGTTGTGAAGAAAGGAGGACAGCCAGTTTAAAGCTGTCCCCCTGACTCCAGCAACAGCAAGGCGGTGGGTCAAAAGATTGTGGTCGACTGTGTCAAATGCTGCTGTGAGATCCAATAACACAAGCAGCGCTGACCCGCCCTGGTCAAGCTGGCATCGAAGGTGATCCGTGATGGAGACCAGCACAGTCTCTGTCCCGTGGCCCGCACGGAAGCCAGACTGGAAGGGATCTAGTCCGGCTGTGTCGTCTAGGAATTGCTGCATCGTGTACCGGCATGCCTCGGGAACAACTGTGCTCAGTTTCCGCTCTGTAGCTAACCTGTACGGTTCTGTTCTGTGCTTTAAAAATGTTTAAGACTATCAACTCACCCTCCGCATGTGAGGTTCGCTCAGTGATACGGTTGTTGTCAGCAAGGAACCTGCCTGCTGCAGAAATTCATCGACAGATTTGTGAAGTGTACGGTGATACTGTTATGAGTGAAAGCAAAGTGCGTAAGTGGGTACGACAATTCAAAGATGGCCGTGACAACGTCCATGATGAGGAACGCTCCGGTCGCCCTTCTTTGATTACAGACGATTTGGTGGCTTCAGTTGAAGCGAGGATTCGTGAGAACAGGCTCTTCACAATAACAGGTCTCTCAAACGAATTTCCTGACGTGTCGAGATCAGTGCTTTACAACATTGTTTCTGAACACCTAAAGTTTAGGAAACTGTGCTCCCACTGGGTCCCGAAACTCCTAACAGCATGAAAACGGCAGTGAACTTTTGGTTATTGGAGCAGGCAGCAAGTTTTTATGAAGAGGGTATTTCAAAATTGGTTCAGAGGTATGATAAGTGTTTGAACAAACTTGGCAACTATGTCGAAAAATAGAGTGAAGTATGTACTTTCTGAAAATAAATTTACTTTTTTGAAATAAACTTTCGTTGTGTACTTGTGTTCAAACCGCTGCCTGCTCTGTACACTTACTTAAAAAATACCCCTCGTATTTTTATATGTATTATTTAGACAGTAGACTGTGACCCCTTAAAGGAAATATCAGATAAATGATTATGGAACATTAATAGATAACAAACACTTGCAAATGTATGTTTACTTGAATAAATAAAAAAAATTAAAAATTAAAAACATCTGAAACCATACGTATATATATTTTCGAGTTAAGTCATGAAGTTTTTAAGAAATTGACATGTTTTATTTTGTCCCAAATAAAACTAGTGTGAACTCAATCCTCATATATAGGCATCTATATCATATATAGGAAGAGATTCTTCTTCAAAGGATTGCAGGCCTTTTAAGGGCACCAAATATCATGGCAAGCATCTTGAATTCAGACCCATTTAGATGACCTTACCATGATCTATTTGGGACTTTAGTCCTGTGCTTTTCAGGCTCCCTGGTGCAGGGAACCAGTGATATTCCTTTTCTAATGTGACCAGGACCAGTACTATGTTTGTGCCCATTGGCGACACCTGGTTTTTTTTTCCTTTTTGAAACCTTGCTCTGGATCAACACCCAATGGTTCACTGACTGCCACATGGACCATCACATTGAATAGTCATGATTTAATTAACATTTTTCAAGCTTTGGCCACTGATTTGCTCCTGTTGGTACTTCATGGATCCTGTATTATCATCCGAAGGGAGTGATAGAGCGGAAGGGTTGTCAAGTTGTTTTCAAAAAATCAGTCTCCCATGTATACGCACAAGCCTCCTGTGTATAGGAGCCACGCTGCCATGCGCCGAGCACGCCTGCTCTTCTCACTTGTTTCCAGAAAGGAAGAGAAGGACAGGCACAGAGATCTTCAGCCTTCTCTGCCAAAGGAGTTCCTAAGACCATCAGGAATAAGTGTTTTCTTGTGGTATTTGGTGACCCCTCTGACACCCTCCTCATGATCTCCCCAGGGGTACCAACATTGAGAAATGCTGCCTTAAACAGTTCAGTTCAGGTTTAAGGCCTATCTTTGTGACTGCACCTTCCTCTATGAATCAGCATGGGATCTAAGATCCACCAGGGAGGTCCTTCTCTTGCTCCCACCACTGTCACAAGCACGATTGGTGGGGATGAGAGAGAGGGCCTTCTTGGTGGTGGCTCCCGACTCCTCCCAAGGGATATTAGGCAAGCCCCTTCATTATCTTCCTTTCTCAGGGAGTTAAAAACTTGGATGTGTCAGCTTGCATTTGAGAATGTTTAATCCCTAGTTATAAATACCCAGTCTCAAGGTTCCCTAATATTATTTGACTCTCTGAACTTCATGCAGTACCCAGCCCTATGACATGGTATTTGCACTATCCCATGCCCAGCCCTTTTTATAGCCTGGTCATGTCCATTGTACTACTGGCAATTGGTTTATTGAATATTGTTTTGATTGAGCTTTTGCTGCTGTTTTATATTCTGCTGTTTTATGTAATTGCATTTGATCTAGACTGTCATATTTTATCATGTTCTTTTTAAATTCTGTTTCTGCTTTAATGGGTTACTTGTATTGTTTTTAGTGTTTTGTGGGCATTTTGCCCCCTATGTAAGCTGCCCAAGGTCCCTTCGGGGAGATGGTGGTGGTGCACGAGAAGCTGGAACTGACAAACGGGAGCTCATCCTGCTCCCTGGATTCAAACCGCAGACCTTTTGGTCAGCAGTCCTGCCGGCACAAGCGTATAACTCATTGCACTACCGGGGCTACTATTGCGGCACATGATGCACTGCCTGTATTGTGGAAACTATTGAGGTATCTCCCTTCTAACCTCCGCTGGGAAAATCCTCGCAAGAATCCTTGCAAACCGCCTTCTGCCCCTCTCAGAAGACACCCTCCCAGGATCCCAGAACGGCTTCTGCCCCTCCAGAGTAACCGTGGACATGATCTTCACTGCACAATAGCTTCAAGAAAAATGCAGGGAACAAAATCATTCATTGACCTTGCAAAGGCATTCGACACAGTGAATCGCAGCGCTCTCTGGACCATCCTCCAAAAAGAAATTTGTGAACATCCTGCATCTCCTCCATGATGACATGATGGCAACAGTCTTGGACAGCAGTGGCTCCCAAAGTGACCCATTTAAGGTGGAATCAGGTGTCAAACAGGGATGTGTTATTGCCCCAACCTTATTTTCTATCTTCATCGCTATGATACTTCATCTTGTTGATGGGAAGCTTCCCACCGGAGTGGAAATCATCTATCAGACAGACATCAAGTTATTTAACCTCAGCAGACTGAAAGCCAAAACTAAGGTTACAACAACATCTGTTATAGAACTCCAATATGCTGATGACAATGTTTTCTGTGCACATTCAGAAGAAGACCTACAAGCCACTCTAAACACCTTCACAGAAGTATACGAGAAGCTCGGCCTGTCATTGAACATCAAGAAAACCAAGGTGTTCTTCCAGCAGTCACCGGCTAATCCCTCTCCAATGCCAGAAATACAACTTAACGGTGTAACGTAAGAAAATGTTGACTATTTCTGCTACCTTGGCAGCCACCTCTCCACAAAAGTCGACAATGACACTGAAATACAACCCCGCCTGAGCTCTGCGAGTTCAGCATTTTTCCAAATGAAGCAGAGAGTGTTTGAGGACAGGGACATCCGTAGGGATACCAAGGTGCTTGTTTATAAAGCTATTGTCCTCCCAACTCAGCTATACGCCTGCGAGGTGTGGACTCTCTACAAACGTCACATGCAACTCCTAGAACGATTCCATTAGCGCTGCCTCCGAAAAATCCTGCAAATATCTTGAGAAGACAGACGGACAAGTGTCAACATGCTGGAAGAAGCAAAGACCAGCATCATTGAAGCGATGGTCCTCCACCATCAACTCCTCTGGACCAGCCACATTGTCCGAATGCCCAACCACCGTCTCCCAAAGCAGTTTCTCTACTCTGAACTCAAAAACGGAAAACGGAATGTTGGTGGACAGGAAAAGAGATTTAAAGATGGGCTCAAAGCCAACCTTAAAAACTCTGACATAGACACCAAGAACTGGGAAGCCCTGGCCCTTGAGTGCTCCAGCTGGAGGTCAGCTGTGACCAGCAGTGCTATAGAATTTGAAGAGGCACGAATGGAGAGCAAAAGAGAGAAATGTGCCAAGAGGAAGGTGTGTCAAGTCAACCCTGACTGAGACCACCATCCACCTGGAAACCAATACCCTCACTGCAGGAGAACATGCAGGTCAAGAATAGTGCTCCACAGTCACCTACGTACCCACCGCCAGTACACCAATCTTGGAAGACAATCTTACTCAGACAATGAGGGAGCACCTAAGTAAAGTAAGTAAGTAAACTGCCTGTATTGCACATTGTGGCACAGAATACACTGAATGTATTCCATGTCTGACTGTACATTGTGATGCACATTGGACAACTAATGCCACCATTCCTGTGTGTGGCATAACTCTGTGCGGTTCAAGTTATGCTTCTTCTCTTGGGTGAAGGATCTCAGTCATCTTGGGTGGCTTCCTCTTGATTTCTGAGAGTTGTCATGTCCTGCTCATTCTCTCTCTTTCCTTTCTCTCTTTAGACTCTCTGGAATGTGGACTTCAGCAGCAAAAAGGTAAATGGGAAACATTTTGTTCCAACAGGGATTGCCATGGCTTTCCCTCTGAGGCCGAGGGAGCGGGAATTTTAAACAGCACAAAAATAACCATGGGCCACACTTTGCCCTCCCATTAACCCCTTTTTAACAAGCCTACCTCCATACAGCGCCGATATCATTATAAAAGCCCAGATGGGGTTAAAAAGACCTTTTCGACCACCTCTCATGATTTGAGTTTAGAAAAATCAGTTTTTGAGGACTCCCAAGTTCCAAAATCCTGCAACAATCATAGCCACAGGACGTGTGTGGCCCAAAAAATAATATTCTCACATTCTGTTCACAGCTATATTTATTAACAAACTGGTTAAATAAAAAATGATATATTACTATTATTATATTATTTATGCCCCTCTTTATCTCTCTCGAAGGAGACTCAAATCTCTAATATCCCAGATATTTAAAAAATAACAACCAGCACCCAAAATTGCCCATTTTAATGACAACAATAAACAATAATTCCTTTACTTTTTTGCTTTTTTAATACAAATTTTAACAGAAAATAAACACAAATAAAAAACAAAATAATTTGGATTGTTGTAGGTTTTTCCGGGTTATGTAGCCATGTTCTGGAGGCATTTTCTCCTTCAGTTGAAACATTCACACCTAGCTCCAGCAGACAATAGTCCTTTGTCTCACCCTGGTCATTCCTCAGATATATAAACCCATTTTCCTACTTCCAACAGACCTCATTACCTCTGAGGGTGCTTGCCATAGATGCAGGTGAAAGGTCAGGAGAAAATGCCTCCAGAACATGGCCATATAACCCGGAAAAACCTACAACAACCCAGTGATTCTGGCCATGAAAGTCTTCGACAATACATTCATTTTGTTAGTTTTGGCCCATCTCTCTAATCTGCCAATATCGTTTTGAAGCCTGCTCCTGACCTCTGGAGTATTGGCTATCCCTCCCAAAGCAGGAGGAAATGTCTCCAGAACATGGCCATATAACCCGGAAAAACCTACAACAACCCAGTGATTCCGGCCATGAAAGCCTTCGACAATAAAATAATTTGGATATATATTTACCCCAAATTCTCAGCGAAGCACTCCTGACAAAATTATTTGCAAAATATGAATTTGCATATTTTAGCTTTGCATTTTGCAAGTATGCATGGCAGCCAAATCTCAGATTATGTCCTTCCAAATTAAATAATTTAGTATCTTTCAGTTTTTACCCATGTCAGACAAGACACTGCAAAATGTTTGAGGTCTGAAAACAATACTTTATTTCTAATTTAACTTACCGTATATTCCGGCGTTTTAGGCGACTTTTGAACCCTGGAAATTTTTTTGAAAAGTTGGGGGTCGTGTAATACGCCGGGTACAGATTGGCGAAGGTGGAAGAGAACTTCCCTCCAAGCCCGCAGGGACAGCACCGGCCTAGCGGCAGCCCTTTCCCAACCCAGCAATAATCGCATGCCTTCCCGGAGCGGCGGAGGCAGCGGCGTCCTACCTCTGAACACCTCCACTGGGGTGTTGCTGCCACTGTGTGAGCAGCAGGCCTAGAGGAGCAGCTGCAACCCAGCAGCAGCTTGACGGAGGCTGATGGAAGTCCTCCCCTGCCTGCAAATGGCTCCTGGAAAAGTGGGAGAGGAGGCCTTTCCTCCGCTCTCTCTCGGCAGAGCAACCCAGCTAAGTCGCTCTGGCAAGAGAGGGAGAGAGGAAGATAAAGTGTATGCAGAGAAAGGGGGAAGGAAAGAAAGGTGCCCACGGAGTGAGGGAGAAAAAAGGAAAAGCACGCACAAGATGAGAGAGAAGGAGAGAAAGGCACGCAGAGGGTGAGGGAGAAGGAAAAAAGGCACACGGGGGCAAGGGGGGGTGGAAAGGCACACGCGAGGTGAGGAATAAGGGGGAAAAGGTACACGCAGGGTGAGGGAGAAGAAAGGTGAACGTGGGTCGAGGGAGGAGAAAAGGGCACGCACATGGCAAGAGAGAGGGAGAAAAAAGTGCACACGGGGCGAGGAAGAAGAAAATAAATGTGTATGGGGCAAGGGAAAAGGAGGGAAAGGTGTGCGGGCAGGAAGAGCAGAGGAAAGAAAGGTGCAATGAAAGAGGAGGAAAAGACAGCTGGGTTGCTATGCAGAGAGTTGAGGGTCCTAGCAGGAAGCACCTTCCTGGCGATATCATCCTCCGTGGAGCAGCTGCTGGGATGCAGCCGCTCCTGTAGGCGGGCCCAGGCGCGGAGGAGAGCCATCCCCAGGCCAGCGAAGAAGAATGGAGAAGCCTCCGTGCTGCAAACGCTCCCTGAGTTGCAACAGCGTTTGCAGGCGCCTCCCAGGAGATAGCTGTGGCAGGAAGGAAAATGCAGGTTCCCAATTTCCAAGGTCTGTTTTCCCCAGACCCCCCAGTATTCTCTTGTTATTCATGGGTGTTCTCTGTGCCAAGTTTAGTCCAATTCCATGGCTGTTAGGGTTTCAGAATGCTCTTTGATTGCAGAGAACTATAAATCCCAAGCAGCTCCCAATTTCCAAGGTCTGTTTTCCCCAGACCCCCCAGTATTCTCTTTTTGTTCATGGGAGTTCTCTGTGTCAAGTTTAGTCCAATTTCATGGCTGTTGAGGTTTCAGAATGCTCTTTGATTGCAGAGAACTATAAATCCTAGGCAGCTCCCAATTTCCAAGGTCTGTTTTCCCCAGACCCCCCCAGTATTCTCTTTTTTTTTTCATGGAAGTTCTCTGTGCCAAGTTTAGTGCATAAATCCCAAGTTTAGTCTATAAATCCCGAGCAGCTCCCAATGTCCAAGGTCTGTTTCCCCAATGTTCAAATTTGGGCATATTGAGTGTTCATGCCCAGTTTGGTCCAGATCAATAGTTGTTTGGGTTCAAATTGCTCACTGGATGTGTGAACTACATCTCCCATTAATTCTTCCCAAACCCCTCCAATATTTTCTGTTGATCATGAGGATTCTGTGTGCCAATTTGGTCCAGGTCTGTAATACATGAAGATCTCATTGGTCTGTAGAAGTAATTGCTGAATCGGTTCAAGGTACTGCAAATCCGATCATCTCTTGTCCATCGTC